CTTCCGATCCGCCCTTTGAGCTGCGGGTTTCTTGTTAACAGCATGAACTCCATCAAGAACTGGAGCTTTTTCTGCATTTATTTGCTGTATGACATGGAGAAGACAGAAAAAAAAAACATTGACATAAGCACTCGATCCACCCTTTGCTGTATCAAATCAATCTGATAGTCAACCATTGACGAGTTGGTTTGAGAGATGAACCTTTTTCCCTGCAGCTTGTGCGTTGGCTAGTAGCTGTGCTCGGAAGCTACGAGTGAGGGGGCGATTGATCTGAGGCTGTTGGGGTTTGCCTTCAACTCCTGGAACAGAAACAAGATTTCCGATATCGCCAAGAGCGCGACGGTTCCTTCCTGCAGCCACGTTTTTCTTCTGTATCTTCTCACCACCAACAACTGGATCGCCTGAAACATAATCAAGAGACCGTTCAGGATGAGACGTTTTCAAACCAGCCAGATCGAACCCATGTTCTGCCTCGATTGGATAGGAAAACAAGGAACATAATCAAGAGGCCGTTGGTGAAAGTCTTTGTTATTCAGAATCAATCCGGCATCCAAACGCAGGAAGTAAGGAATCTGTGAGAATCATCTCCAAGAACTCAAACACCCACAACAGAAAACATGAGATCAGATCCAATCTAGAGAATCAGGAGAGCAACTCAGATGTAAAATCATCAAACGCACAAATATTTCGGTAAAAGAATTCAGATTTGAATAGCACTCGATGAAACACCCACCAAAAATCTGTTAAAAAACCTAGAGCTGAGATATTTTCCCAAAATGATGAAAACCCATATCCGAAATCGCCAAAAAGAGAACGCCCTTTTTCAATTATCGTTCATAACCCAAACCTTTCGGTGACAATTTCAGATTTCAAAAGCACGCGATGAAACACCCACAGAAAAACGGAAACCAAAGTCTGTTAAAAAAAAACCTAGAGCTGTGAGAAATTTTCCCAAAATGACGAAAACCCATATCCGAAATCACAAATAGAGAAGACCCTTTTTCAATCATCGTTCGTAATCCTCAATCCCGACAGCAAAATAATACGAGTGCAACTCACGGAACGGCACAACAACACAAGATTCATCGGATCAACTGTCGAAGAAATTTTCAAAAGCATCCGAAAGAATCAATCACAGCCAACAAATCGAAATCGATGAGTGAAACTCAATCGAAGAAGACTTCGGAGGATTACCCCTGATTTGTTGCGGAATAACTGGTCTCGTCGCCATCTTCTTTACACTTTTTCTTCTTGTTCTTGCTCTTGCTCGTCTTATTTGTTCTTGTTTCTCCTCTTAGAGGGAGGCTCAGAGAACGGGAATATGAACGCGAGAGAAAGAGAGGGGTTTTTATTGAGAGGAGATTAGGGAGTCGACGATTCAATTCCAACGGTCAAATTTTTTAGGGCTTTGATTCGTAGCCGTTGGATTACGAAATTCAAATCCAACGGTGGATAAGTGATCTGATAAATTTTATATCCGTTGGGGCCTCGCGTTGGCAAGAGAGGCGCCTAAGGTAAGGTAAGGTGTATCCATTCTCTCCCCCCATGTGACCGTTGGACTGTAGAATATAGAAAAGGGAAAAAAAAGAAGCTAAAAACGGTATAATTTAATAATTGGATAAATATGTGGCAATATATATAGTAGATTCATAAATTCTATGATTCCAAAGCTTTCAATTCCTGAAATACTTTTATTTTTAAATGAAATGCTATTTTTTATTGTTTGATAAGTATATCTAAATATTAAACATTGGTTCTGTAAAACGGGGAAAACATGAAGCTGTATATCTAGCTTTTGCTGTGCAATAACATTGTAAATATCGCATTTTGGCTGACATCGTAAAGTTTTATATGAACATTTTTCTATTAAAAACGGGCCTCGCATTTTTAAATTTTAATAAAACTATATTATCTCATTATTTATATTAAATTTTGACAATTTTAATTCTTCTTAGGTTTGCTATTATCAAATATTTAAGACTAAAACTATCCAATTTATTTTTTAGGATTCCAATTTTTAAGACTAAAATTATCCAATACATATGGTTTTAAACACTTCATTCTTTTACTCTTCTTTTAATCTTACAAGTTTGTGGATTTTGTGATTCATGACTTTCAGTTTTTTTAGTTTTGGGCCATTTCCGGTCACTAAATTCAGGTATTTCCACTAAACTGGGCCCAACAAGAATTCACAGGCCCAAATAAAAAAACAAATACAATTCCAATCCAAATATATAATAAACCGGTTCAAGCCAATTATCAATTACAAGTCTTGGTACGTTGTGAGATTCTCCCAAATTTACACTTCTGAAATAACCTATATTTCACATGAACAGATCAAACAAATACTGTTAATGGTACATAAATTCAAAGGATCGGTTTATACAAGAAATTTATGGTTCGTCAATTGCAATGGCAAGGCAGAAAATCAGTAAGCGAATATAACAAGGCTCATGTTTCAATAGGGGCATTATCCAAAATACTCTCCTTTTGCTAAAACTATTTCTGCACGTACCCTTCTCCAATTGTGACCTTGTGACCAGAATTCATGTATGGTCACATTGGTCAAAACGTTAAATTTATGGTGATTACATCAAATCACCATGGTCACACCTTACATATCACACTAATCATTTGGTAAAATCATCAAAAATCTAACGTTGTGAACAATGTGATCATACAATTATTCTGGTCACAAAGTCACAATTGGAGAAAAGTATATGGAGAAGTAATTTTAGCATAAGAAGGGTATTTTAGATATTTTGCCGTTTCAATAGTCACCAATTCCAACCATTAAAATTCCAAGGTAGCCATTTCAAGTTTTCGTTCAATTATATTCGAATTCCATTAATTTTGCAAAATTATTGATTTTTCCAATTATTTTTTAATAGATTGGATTTCGGTTTTTTCAAATTTAGAAAATTCATAATTGTTTGATTTTTATATCGAATTCAGTTCGAATATAATTATTTTTTATTCAATTCAGTTCGAATACAATTATTTCTTATTCAATTCAACTACGATTATTTCTTATTGAATTCAACTACTCTGGTTAATAACCAAAATGGTAACCCCCAATTCTAATTACTAAACATAATCTAAAGCATTACCACCAAAGGACAGAACAGAACAAGTGTCTATAACATCAAGGCTGGATTTTTGTGTTCGAATCTTAAAAATCTTAGACCAAAAAGGAAATTGGCAATGTCAGAATATCAATAAGCCTCGAGATTTTGAGCTCATAATGGGGACTAAACCCCATTAGCACATCTAATTGTATCATCATTCAGAGCCAACTCTTGACACCAAGGAACAAAACAGAACAGGTGTTTGTAACATCAAGGCTGGAACCTTTTTTTTTTTTATCAAATCTGCAAAATTAGATCAAATATGGAACTGGCAATGTCAGAATATCAATAAGCCTCAAGAATTTTAGCTCATAATGGGGATTAAACCCCATTAGCACATCTAATTGTATCATCATTCATAGCCAATCCCCATTTTCTCCAACTATCAAAATAAATGAAAACTAATCCCAAAAACACAGAGTGATTATCTCAAAGAAATTAACGGCGGTATCAGAATATCAATAAGCCTCGAAATTTCTGAGCTCATAATAAGAACTAAAATTCCCATTCGGACATCTAATTCAATCATCATTTACCGCTGTTTCGATTTGACCACAAAATCAACAAAAGGTGTAACAAAAAATGGTATTTTGTGTATCCCTCCAGATCGAAACACGAGACAAGAGAGATTCGACTGAGAGTCTGAAGCTCCCAACAAGCCAGCACTCTAACCAGTACAGATAAAGCCGAATGGCTAATCTATCGGA